CACACCAGAAATTAACACAACATTGCAAATCAACTATATTTCAATTAAAAAAAAGAAGGGTATGAGGAGAAAATAGTTAGCAAAGATAACAGTCATACTGCTAGGGATGACGGGCTCTATGTATAAGTATCTACTCATCCATGGGTTCAACAATAGTGTTAAAGTAGGACAAATCTGAAGTTAAGTCCTGGTCCCATCGCTTACTAGGAAGTTATTTAACCCCCTTAGTCTTGGACTGCCTATCCATAAAATAGGGCAAATAATATTTCTTTTCCTATGGTTGTTGTAATAGATAATGCATAGCTATTACTATGTGCCAGGTACCATGCTAGAAGGGCTTGAGAATACAGAGATAAACACAATTCACGCTTTCCAAGATTACTACTTAACAACTTCTTTTTTAAAATGCAAAGTGAAGAAATAGGTCAATAATTCTAATAACCCTCCAACCAAAGGAATACTTTTGAATGAATCAGCTTGACAACTGAGGCATCTCAATTCTCTGTTTCAGTCGGCTGAATACTTTTATCTTAGGGCAGGGCAAGGACGAGCACGAGACCTGACTTGATTCTGGTGAGTAACAGGACACTAACACCAAGAATTCAAGTTAGGTTTTGCTTATATCCATTACTATTTGTACATGTAAAACCTATCATTTTAACAACAGTCTGATTAGCCCAGGAGTGAAGAACTGGGCTGTGTTCCATGTCAGTGATATCAGCTATTAAAAAGGACTGTAAAATTCTCTTGCAGTTACCAAATGCTATGTAAATGCTAAATAAAAATAAAATAGGAAAACAATTCTCAGTTCTGTTTAACTGATTTCATGTTGCTAGACATTCTTTAGTTTCACGCTTCAGTAGGAATATCTTTAGAGATTGGAGAAAAGAAGAAGGAAAAGAGCCTGATTATGTTCTAGACAGCCTTAGCATGATTAGATCCCACTCCAGTCAGACAGAAAAATGTGAGCCACGTGGCTCAAGTTTAAGATGCTTTTTTTTGAGAATCACTTCTTATTAAATTAGTATGAATTCAAGATACACAAATGTGGTTTTAACTGTTTTGTTTCAAGCACACTAGCGATAGTAAACAGTGAATGGTGCATCTTAGATGGAAAGAAAAGCAATCAATACATAATAGGAAAGTGGTTACTATTAACTGCATAATAACAGGTTAGTGTGAGCTTAGCTTGTTATGCTTTTGGTTCAATGCTTCCTGGGAGCCTGGGCAGGGGGAAGGAAGGGAAGGGAATCGATGTGTTTTCTAAGTTTCAGTTTCCTCTGGGTAAACTATGAAAGATAACTGCATAGTCACTACAAAGGAAAGCTGTAAAGAACTCAGATGCATTAAATTTCCTAAAAATCCAGGTCCAGACATATACACATGTACACACCTCAGTTAACTACATCTTTTAACTTCCCTAAAATCTAGTACAAATGTAAGAAATCTAGAGACTAAAATCTTGCTTTGTGCAACAGATGTTTCTGAAAAGTATGGCTGAACAAAAGAGTTTGCAAACTGGATCATGTCAGACATACTAGGATTATTTAATAGACCACTTTCAATTAAACAAAATAAAGAGTGTTATTAAAAATAATCTCCTTCCACTGTATACAAGTTCTAGACCCCTGGAGGTCTGTACCCTTTAAAGCAGGGCTCACCACAGCAGCATGCAAGCACACAACCCCATCTGGACTTGTGCCTTATTTGCCAGCCACCACTGGCTCTCATACGTGTCCTCAGGCTCAGCCCTAGTGGCTGGAATTTGCTGTCTCCTGCTGTCCCTCTGGTTTTAGAACTCAGCCTACTCCTGGACCATGGCATGGGCTTTGATCATCCTAATTCCTGACCAGGACTCCTTTCCCCCTTTTTTTTTTTGGCTTTGCTACTTCTCTGTTGGACATAACCTTTAAAGGAATCCTTCCACTCAGGCAGCCGGAACTGATGACTCAGTTTACCTCCCTTTACCCCTCCGTACTCTTCCTTTGCTACCTCAGCTCAACTGATCTGTTTTCTAAGCCTAGACTTCTATGCATTTCATTTTTTTCAAGGTTGAAATCATTTGGACTTACTTACAAGAGCTCTTTTGGCTATTTGCTGAAAGGAATGAAAAAACCCAAAAACACAAGAGGGCAGGAAAACAGCACAGTTCCTAGCCCCCCTCCCCCAGGCCCACCGAGTCAGCAAAGCTGGGAGGCGGCCCAGGACTGCATTTTCACAAGTCCTCTAGGTGATCTGCATGCACACTGAAGTTTAAGAACCACCAAGCTGAAGAAAAGAGGGTGTCTGACAAATATTTTGGACAAAATGAGGCATGTCATTAAAGAAGTCCGTATTACTGATAAAATGTTTAAGAATATTGAAGATATTCTGTGTAATAAAACCACAGCTATAGTAAAATTTTTGTAAAATACCTTAGAAGTACATTTCCATATGAAAAACTGTTTAGAAGTTACATGCCAAACTTTTAATAGTGGTTAACTTAGGGAAATTCATTTTAGTTTTCCTCTATGGATATCCGTATCTTTAATCTATAAGCATATATTATTTTATAATTTTGAAAAATGGTTAATCTAAGCATCTTCCACCCCTCTCCAGCAAAATTGAGAGGTAAAAATTAACTCAGTCCCCCGCAGACCTCAGTGTCTGGACTAATCAAGCTTTGTGAGGCTTTAGGGAATTCTAGAGGAAGTGAGGCAGAGACAGTGTTCAGTGCTCCATGAGTCAATCAGTGCTTCTATGTAAAGCTGCTGTGCCAGGAAGTGACAGGTCATAAAGCCTGAGAGATTCTGCCCTTCTTAAATAGGCCAACTTAAAAAGGGGATGATGGGGTTGGAAGGGAAAACAGAACAGACTAAAAACTTATAGGTTCTTTTGGAAGACACCAATTTATTTCTGGGAAGCTTTTCCTTGCTGCAGAAATTATGTATTTAATTAGCCCTTTTTTTCACCCCCTCTGTGATCTGGCAATCATTCTGCAATTATGTTGGTCCTTCTTCAAGCTGGCTCCAGGTAAAAATTCCATACACAAATGGTAGACTAAAAAGTGGCTTGAAAATAAAATAGATTGGTGGAAAATTAAACACGGTGAGATAAAGATAAGATAAAAGAAAAGTAAGTGTGTATAAACATATCCAAGGTGAAGTGTGGCCTTAGTGAATATCCTTTAGCTTATGATAGACCATGGGAAAATCTTGAGGCTTCCACAGGTTGCTCTCCTGGGACCACTCAATTCTTTCACCTCTGGCAAGTTTCCCATCAGAAGTACTATACAAAGGATCCCAAAGCACTTTACTCGTATCATCATTACACACAGAAGCCACTCAGTGTGATTTGTACACATCCTCTCACTCTTCACTGTCTATAAGCATGTGGGTGTGGCAGAAAGAGAAAAAACAGGATAGCTGTTGTCCCAGAAACCAGAGAAACTCGGTTAAAAAAAAAAACAACTTTGTTGTCTTTAATAATTAATTAGTTCGTCCTCACTAAAGGAAAACTACTTTGGTATAAATAGTTTTGAGGGGGGAAAGGGGTCTTTCTACTTTGAAAATTGGTAAAGGTTACCCCAATTTTTTCCTCTCAAGGTACTTCCTTACCTCTGGGACCGTAACTACACCATAAGACAAGCGATATTACCAACGTCCCAATACTTTCAATGCTGTATGAAGAGAAAATTATTGTGTAGACTGGTAACTGCAGCCGCCTTTTGAAGAGCCTGTCATTGTCTGTGGCTCTGCCTCATTCAGTGTTTCGGATTAGAAGACGGAGGCACAATGTGATTATACGGCAGAAAAGAGATGAAGCCCAGTGCTCGCAGCATCATATAAAAGAGCACAGGCACTGCAGTCAGAATTTGAATCTCAGCTCTAAATTGTACTCTACTGGGGACAACAGGCCCTACCTCTCTGAGCCTCAGTGTTTTTATCAATAAAATGAGAATAAAAGCTATTTACAAGGTTACTGCAATGATCACAAGTATGTAAGAAGAGAGGGGGAACAGGAGGTAGTGCTTAATGGGTACAGTTTCAGTTTGGGATGATGGAAAACGTTCTCTGGAGAGAGATGGTGGTGATGTACAACAATGTGAATGTACTTAAGGTCACTCAACTATACACTTAAAAATGGTTGAAATGGTAAACTTCATTAAGTATATTTTACAACAAATTTTTTAAAAAGGCATGTAAGGTTCTTAGCACAGTGCCTGGCTCTTGGTAGGTGCTCAAGAAATGCTAGTCTTATTTCTCTCATAAAAATCTTTAAATTAAAAAAAAACCCAACACAAAAAGCCAAACAAAATCATGCTCCTTTCCATATTTAACTGTGAGAGGCTTTGATTCTCAGGCAGAGCCAGCTGGCACCAATACCAGGCAGTGCCACAGCAAGTGTCTGGGTAGGAGAAGGGAGGCTGTGTTAGTCATAATCCCTCTGGCATGCTCAGTCCCAGCCCACCCCCAACCCTGGTATAACCCTGGCATGGAGTCTCCCAGAATATCAATCAGACAGCCCCCAACATCTTACAGAGAAAGCAGGAAGCTTAAACCATTTCCCAGACCAGACTCCAGGTCATGAGGACAAAAGCATGCACAGTGGCAACTGGCTCCTGTAAGTGGGGGTGTGACAAGACGCGAGTACTGAACTGGATAGGGCTGAGCTTATTCCAGTCCCCAGCATTAAGCTGATTATATCTTGGACGCCTTTGGCTGTATTTAATGGACACACAGGCCAGTACTCTCAAAGGCCCAGTAAAGGAAGATTAAAAATGCACTTGTCTGCAGTTCAGAGAAAACAATTAATGATTATGTGTTGTAAGTCATAAAATAGAGAAGGGGAAAAATAGATGAGTTATCTCTAGATATTAGAACACTGTTTTTGATGGGCAGGCTTAATTAGACCTTGATGCGATGTTCAGATAGACGGTCGTTAACATCCCTTGAATTTAGCTCAAGGAGAATGAAATACTTGGGGCATCAATACCTAATTAATTCTAAAGCAATACTTACTTTAGGGTCTGAGCTCTTGAACTTTAACCTTTCCACCAACTCTATCATAGCCGCCTTCAGTCCACCTGAGTCTTTGCTCTAGAAGAAAGAAAAGTTGGGGTCATTAAACAGTATTTTGTTGCTCTCTCAAACACAAACAGCATTTCATGGGACAATGAAATGGAAAGCAATTTTTTCTTATCAGCCAAAAAACTAAACAACTTAAAAAAGCAACGCTGCTCCTCTTCCTCTTCTCTGTGGACAAAGAGGGGCAGGACATAAATTTCCCAGTGACCTGAGAGAACAATTAGAATGAAAATTAAATGCAATTTGTATAGGCTGACTCACTGCTTCATTTCAGGGCTCAACTACGCCAATGTTCACTAAGGGCTGGAGCTTTGCAAAAAGAGATATCCATCCAGGATGTCTATTTTATGACCTGGTGATTTTTATTTTAAACGTCTACATACCAAATAAAGTATACAATATTAAATATTCTTATAAAAATAAAAACAAAATGCCTCAAGATTTAATTGGCAATCCAATAACAATAATTTATTGTGTGTATGTGTGTGTGTGTGTGTCTAGAGAGGACTCTCTCCACTACTTATACTTCAGTGTGCTGAAGTATATGTGTGTGATTGGAGAGGTCCCACTCACTGAGACACCAGACACAATCACACCTCTCCCATCACTTCAGTATATTTCAGTGTTCTCCTTTCAGTGTGCAGTTTTTGACTCAGACATAAAAGGTTTCAAATTTGGGGTCTGCATTAACTAGCTGACTAACCTCAGGGAAAGTACTGACTTTCTCAAAACTTTTTCCCTTTTTGATAAAATGACGATAATAAAAGGGTTATTTTGAGGCTTAATTGAAATGGTGTTTGTAAAGGCAATCAGCACAGTATGTGGCACATAGTAAGTGCCCAATAAATGTCACCTATTATTATTGTTGTTATTATTGCACTGTAATGATTTAGAGCAGCACAGTCCAAAAGAAATGTAATGGGAACCAGAAATGCAATCCAACATATGCATTAAGTTTTCCAGTAGTCACAAAAATTAAGTGAAATTGGTTTTAATATATTTTACTTAACTCAGTATATTCAAAATATTACCATGGTAACATTTCAACATGAGGTATTTTATCATACTAGGTCTCTGAAATCTAGTGTATATTTCACTAGCCCAATTCAATCTGGATTTGCGACATTTCAAGAGCTCCAAGCCATCCATGGCTACTGACTACTGTATTGGTTAGCACAGATTTAGAGTAAAGACTAAAGCCACACTGCCTGGATTCAAGTCCCAAATCTACCATTAGATTTGTATGACATTATGCAAGTTACTTAGCCACTCTGCACCTCAATTTCTTTACCTGTAAAATGAAGCTAATAATAATACCTATTTCATAGGGTTGTATTAAGATAACATGAGCTTATATATGCCAAGGTGCTTTGAACACAGCCTGGCACATGGTAGAGACAACAGATGTATGAGACATTTTTATTATTATTGTCTGTCTCCCTCACAATGTATTAAATTCCTTTAGGGTTAGAACTACATCTTTTATCTCTGTATCTGTGCCCAGCATCAAGAAGATGTTTGAAAAATTCTGCTGAACAAATGAATGAATGAATATGCAGTCTTAATATATGAATGCTCTAATACATGTGCGTAGCATAATCTAAAGTCACATGAATTAGTTTATTTTCTTATCTCAACTCCTGTGGAAAAGATAGGGTCATCAACCTCATTTTACCAGTGGTGGAAAGGAAGTATGAAGAAGTAAAATGACTGCCATTTTTATGGGGGGAAGGGACAAAAAAGAAGTACAATATAAACAAACACTACAATATCTGTTCTTCAAAACTGGCCTGATAATCAGTGATATCTTCCAAATTTGGGTGGATAATTCCAATTCCTCCAAAACAGGAAATACTTAGTAAGACCTCAACACATAGATTAAAATAGACTAAAGCCTAAATCCTTTTTTCCCTTGAATCTCCTTTCTCTCTCAAGTCTATACAGTAAAAGTCTGATGTAATACGACAAAGACCCATATCTGCTTTACATGTGCTCGCCAAACACAGCTTTGTTGATATTCCTATTCTGTGGGTCTAAATTTTAATACTTTGTATTTTTAAAATAATGGTTTAGAACTGTCCAAATTGCTTCACCAATTTAAATCTTTAATCTCTGGTACCACAGCCAACAAAGGAAAAGAAATCTGGAGGTCACATACCAGGGAGTGGGTGAGACCCGAAGTACCTAAAAAAAGGGTTAAGTTGCCAGACACAGTCCTGCTTTATGAGATGATTAGACAATACATCCTGTCTGGTGATATCATTCCTCTAACCTGCTTCCCATTGGCTGAACAAGCAGGTCACTTCTCCCTAGAAAGCTTTCTTCCCCCACATCCCAGCTGCCAGCGCCCATTTCAAGCTCTTCAGCGAGAGCCCTGATATATTATGACTTTCCCCCTGGCTCTAGAGAACAGAAAGGAATGCACCAAACTGTGTCTTAAAAACATTCAGAACAGGATGACGAAGGAATCCCTAAGAAGCAGACAGCCTGTTTGCAGGCAGATATGCCTTGTGTGGTGAGATAAGGGAACCCTTAGCCTTCTTTCATAAAAATACAGTGTGTCAGCAGAATCCTTCCTCCTTTTCACAAAGCATCAGCAGCACTGCCTACTCAGGGGACAGAAGAAAGGCACAGATTCTTCCTTCAAGAAATTCACCCATTTTATCTCCCCACCCTGCTCTCTTTGAGAATTATTCTCAAAGATTAATTGGGGCCTATATTGAGCTAGCCTCTAAATGGGTGGTGAAGTAAATCTTCCCCAATGGTTTTTTTTAACCCCCCCAAATATGCAGTTGGCCAGAAGGAAAGGCTCTTCTCGGCAGACCTGCCTCTGACAGCTGCAGGGCTGGGGCAAGAGTACAAATGGAGGACTTTGGCCCCAAATCCACTTCCTTTCTTTTCTCACATCCCAGTCCCTTTCTGCACCTCAAGAGGCCTTGTACATAGGTGTTTATGTGCTTCCTTCTTCCCCCAAGAACAGTGTAGATTAAAATAAGACAAGTGCTATGTAGTGACACCCACCCTTCAGAGTCTGATCAATCTGAGATGTAGGATGCTTCATAAAAGCTAACTCCTAGGGATTAATCAGAATAAAGCCAAAGAAAGGGCAAACTGCCTACATTTGAAGGTATTCTTTACTCTCCAAAGCGCTTTCATATGCTCTTTCATTGGCATTTCACAGTAAACCTAAAAAGTAGTGTATTCTCACTTTACAGCTGAGAAAATGGCTGGTAGAAATCAATGAGGATCCAAAAATTACGGAGCTCATACACTCTTTAGCTGACATTAAAGGCAGTGTATTTTCACTTTACAATGGAGAAAAATGGTTCTGTGGAAGGCAAACGATGTCACCCAAATCATACCGCTGGTCAGTAGCAAAACCAAGATCAAAAAGGTCCAAATGAAAAAGATTTACACAGAAGAAGAGGCTGGTATCAAGAATACACGAAAAAATACATAAGGGATTCCTATAAATAAGAAAAAGCCAAATAAGCACAAAAGAGATTCCAACAAATAGTATGAACATAAGAGGAATGTGAAATGGCTAATAAACACATGAAAACATCTAAAAGATGCTCAAACTTACTTGTAATTATGGTATCATTTCTTATCCATCATACTGAAAAAAAAGTTTTTATCTGATAATATCAAGTGATGAGAGAGTGAGGAAGTTGGGGATTTTCATATGCTGCTGATATAAAATCATAAACTCACTCTGAAATCACACTCCTAGCAAGCCCATTTTTCACTTTCTCCCCTTGAGAAATACTAAAGCATGTGTCAAGGAAGCATGCACAAAAATATTTATTGCAGCACTGTTTGTAATACTGAAAAGCTGGAAACATCCTAAGCATCCATCAGTAGTGGGTGGCTAGATAAACTATGGAATTAAACTTTGGGATATGACAGCAAATAAAAAGAATGAGGTAGATCTGTATGTACCTGGGTACAAGGCAAGACATAATGTTGAATTAAAAAAATAAACTTGCAAAACAATGTACACTATATCATTTATTAAAAAAATACAACTATTATTTTCTATGAGTGATGCATATGTATGTAAAAGACCAGAAAAGCAATGACTGAAAAGACTAGTGGGGATAGTAGTAGGAAGAGTCTTAAACTTACATATATGTATTCCTACTGTCTAATTAAGATTCAGTTCACCAAAAGGGAGGGAGGGAGGAAGGGAAGACAGACCTAAGGTTTCTGCTTCAAGCGCCTCTCTCCATGAGTTTGCCTAAGTATAAATACTGGAGCACTGTTCCCTTCACATGCAAACACATGAACCAACAAGTATAAAAGAGGGTTCTTCACCTAGGGTTCATGTATTGATACTGACTTCAGGGAGTTTGAAATCCCCAAAACTGTATGCAAAATTTGGAATGTACATGCACTTTTCTATGAAAAGAGACTTGCGCTTTCCTCAAAGTCCCCCTAAAATTTAACTTTCCTAGAGTAAAGAGCATTGCATAAAGAGAAAGGAGACCCAGATTCCATTCCTAGCTCCTAGTTCCAGTCCTACTAATCACTGTACGAGCTTGGAAAAGTCATTTTACATCTCTGGGTTTGTCTCTCAACTTGTAAATGAAGAAAATGGACCCAATCAGAACCTACAAATTAATTCACAGCCTACACCCTACATAACTTTTCTTTTTTTTTGGCTTTTAGAGTGTTATCCTATACAGCATACTGGGAATTTTAAATTAATTGCCAACATTAAAAAATCAGGAGATATAACATGATAAAGATTTCTAGCTTCTTCTGAAGATCTAAAAGGGATGACTCTCCTGGGCTCCCCTTCCCACACAGCAACTAGCTGAAACTGAGCAGCGATTAACCTGCTTTAGGCAAGGCAAGCTCTCTCCAGGTGACCACAGTTGCCCTGGCTGGCTTCTCTCATTTACATTACCTTTCTGGTCCCTGTAGACATCTAAAGCTGCTACCCCTGGAAGCAACTCTTTCTGAAAGTTTCCTAACTCTAAGGGTCCTTGTATCTGAAAGTTGGAATC